GCTATATCTAAATCTCAACCGATTTTCACCAAACTTAGCGCACATCATTCTACACTTAATTCAGTACGCTATGTCGAATTTCGTGCAAATCTAATGATATATAGGGACTCTTTCGCACAATTTACCTTAAATCGGACGAATATATATGGGAGCTATATCTAAATCTGAACCGATTTTCTCCAATTTCAATAGGGTCCTTGGCCAAATAAATGAGCTGTACCAAACAACATCCAAATCGGATTATAAATGCGACTTGTACTTAGTTTACAAATTAACATCAACAGACGGACGGACATGCATAAATCGACTCAGAATGTTATTCTATGCTTATTCTCAAAAGGGGCCATGGGTCTATCTCGATTTCTTTTGCCTGTTACAAACATATGCACAAAGCAGTAATACCCTGAACCACAGTGAGGTGAAGGCATAAAGAGGGCAAATGTGTGTACAGTATTAATTAGTGTATACAGTACAAATTATTTAAATCGCTTCGTACTCGAATTGTACGAATACTGTCATCAGTTATGTGTACAGTACTAAGTAGTGTATACAGTCCACACGTATTCTGACATCAGTACCACTTTTTTGATTCTGATATTTCCAACTTTATCATTTTCCTAAAAACAAATTGGAAATTGGCAGCACCTACATAATGGTGGTTTGTGAACTTAGTAAACATCTGTGGTTTGTATATTTACTAACACTTTGCTATAATTGCCAATTCCAATTCTTTGCTATAATGCCCCTATCAAAAAATTAAGTACCCTATGTTACCACAAATGTACTCAAAAATCGACTGTGAAAATTTCATGAAAATCCGTTCAGTAGTTTAGGAGTCTATAGCTAACACTGATCAAACAAACAAACAAACAAACTAACAAACAAACATTTTTATATATATAGATATATATATATATATAAATAAATTGTCCAAACAGCAAATAATGAGCCTACAATGCGATTATTTAAATTTCGATTAAACCGACCGATATTTATATAGATGCACCGATTTATATTTTTCCAAATTATTATACTCAAATGCTCGATTGAACAGCGTAACGAACTAAGTCTGAAATAACGTAATCGGTTAATATATCTATATATATAGCATTCATTATCCGTATTGTATAAATCTATTTGGCCCTATTGAAAATCGTGAAAATCGGTTCCTATCTATATATATAAAAATGAATTTCTGTTTGTTTGTTTGATCAGTGTCCCCTATAGACTCCTAAACTACTGAACGGATTTTCATGAAATTTTCACAGTCGATTTTTGAGTACATTTGTGGTAACATAGGGTACTTAATTTTTTGATAGGGTCAGGGGAACCAATAGCCCCCATACAAATTGCCCCCTTTATTTGATAAGAATTTGTAATTTATAGAAAAATTTTAGTAAATATACAAACCACTGATAAAGATTATACAATGGTGAATATACTTATTTTAGCAACTCCATAAACCTCTTTTTTATGAGTTGCCAATTCGCAATTTGTATGTTGAATGTGATGGTGGAAATGATAAACGTAAAAATGTGAGAGTGAGTTCTACTGAATGAGAAGTACAGTTTATAATTGTACTGTATGCCTAAATTAGGCTATTGACAAAATGTGTGTCCTATTGCTTGTATTTGCTAAGCTTTTTATACCCTTCACCAATCTGTGGTACAGGGTATTATGGCTTTGTGCATATGTTTGTAACAGGCAAAAGGAAACGAGATAGACACATGGTTCCTTTTGAGCATATGCTTAGAATCACTTTCTGAGTCGATTTATGCATGTCCGTCCGTCTGTAGATGTTAAATTGTAAACAAAGTACAGGTCGCATTTATGTTCCGATTTGGATGAAAGTTGGCAGAAGTCACTTATTTGGCCCAAGGACGAACCCTATTGAAATTGGGAAAAAATCGGTTCAGATTTAGATATAGCTCCCATATATATTTTCGTCCGATTTAAGGTAAATGGGGCACCAAAGTCCCTCTATATCTTTATATCTTTCGATTTGCACGAAATTTGGCACAGCGTAATGAATTAGGTCTAGAATGAAGTGTGTTAAGTTTCCTGAAAATCGGTTCAGATTTAGATATAGCGGAGATTTTATATAGCGGAGATTAATAAGAAAATGACAATACAAACAAGTTTGTGATCTTATGTGTCTAAATCGATATTTTCAAATATTCGCAGAAGTATCCAGCGATACTTTTTACATTTTTGCAAAAAAAAAAATTGTATAGCTTGGAAATTAATAGCGGATACTTTAAGAACTTTAATGACGTATTACTAATATTGCAGGGAATAACTTTTAAATATGAGTTTTTTGCATATTCTTCTTTTTGTATCTGAAAAGGTAGCACTACATGTATACAAGCTTTATATCTTAAAAATCTGGTAGTGGCCACGTAATAATTAAGATAAAAACTATAGTAAATTTTTTTTGATAAGCTCTCGATTCGTTTCAAATATTTTTGAATTTTTTTATTTCAAAATACTTAGATATACTTCACTTAAGATGTTTAATGTGAAAATAGAAAATTATTGCAGGCAAATTTTCCATAAATAACAGTTTTCATGAAAACAAACATCGACTTGAAGTGGTTACATAATAAGAACATTGTGTCAATATTTACATTACTGCAATTTTTTTAATTTTTTACGAAACAAAGTTAAGTAAACTAAGCACCGATAAAATCATTTACAGATAACCAATTAAAAAAATCTGTAAAATATATCAAAATTGGCAACGATTTGTACAGCACACTTAACATTCGGAAAATTACCATTAATAAAAAAAGTTTCGAATGTACCAGAAATCTATATATAAATCAATTTCTGTTTGTCTGTTGGATCAGTGTTACCTATACACTCCTAAACTACTGAACGGATTTTAATGAAATTTTCACAGTCGATTTTTGAGTGCATTTGTGGTAACATAGGGTACATAATTTTTTGATGGGGGCCGGGGTAACAGTAGTCCCCATACAAATTGCCACCTAAGTTTATTAAAATTGACCATGTTGAAAATAGGCAGTGGTAGAAATTTTAGTAAATATACATATCACAGATATTTATTATCCAATGGTGAATATACAGAGTTCACTAAGTTCACAAACCGTTTTTCACTAGGAGTTGCCAATCTACAAGTTGTTTTTACGAAAATGCTGATGGTGAAAATGATAGGGGCAGAAATATCAGATACTGAATAAAAAGTTCAATATATAAATGTACAGTATGCCGAATAATAAAATGTAATAAATGTACAGTACACAAAGTGTGCTATTGTGTCCTATCAGTTGAATTTGGTAAGCATTTTTATACCCTTCACCACACTGTGGTACAGGGTATTATGGTTTTTGTGCATATGTTTGTAACAGGCAAAAGGAAACGAACTAGACACATACGGTTCAGTTTTAGATATAGCTCCCATAAATATTTTCGTACGATTTAAGGTAAATAGTGCACCAAAGTCCCTATCCTTCGAATTGCACGAAATTTGGCATATCGTACTGAATTAAGTCTATAACGATGTGTGTCAAATTTCATGAAAATCGGTTCAGATTTAGATATAGCTCTCATATATATTTTCGTCCGCTTTTTGGTAAATAGTGCACCAAAGTCCGTATATATCCTTCGATTTGCACTAAATTTGGCGTAGCGTACTGAATTGAGTATAGAATGATGAGTAGTGAGTTTCGGGAAAATCGGTTCGAATTTAGATATAGCTCCCATATATATTTTCGTCCGATTTAAGGTAAATGGTGCACGGAAGTCCCTATATATCCTTCGACTTGCACGAAAGTCCATACGATGTGTGTCAAATTTAATGAAAATCAGTTCAGATTTAAATATATCTCCCATATATATTTTCGTCCGATTTAAGGTAAATAGTGCACCAAAGTCAGTACATATCCTTCGATTTGCATGAAATTTGGCATAGCGTACTGAATTAAGTCTTGAACAGTGTGTTTTAAATTTCGTGAAAATCGGCTCAGATTTAGATATAGCACTCATATATATTTTCGTCCGATTTGTGTAAATGGTGCACGGAAGTCTCTATATATCCTTCGATTTGTGATAAGTTAGATGAAATTGGTACAGATGCAGCCATAGTTTCCATATTTATTTCGAACGGGTGTCTGATTGAAATTATATTTTTAACAGTGCGATTATAAATGTCATAGAATTCTTACATTTTTGCAGGAAAAAAGTATGAAGGTTGGAAATTATTAATTAGCGGATACTTTATGAACCCCAATGAAATACTACTATGATTGCAGGAGATAAATTTTAAATATGAGTTTTGTACCTGTAAATAGATACAGTACCTAAAAGCGTAGTACTTACATATATACACGTTTTATATTTAACAATTTACCTAAATCAACCACTTACAAATATTCGTTCAAAAATTTAATAAACACTTACGTTAATTTAAATGTGAGGACTTATTACATATATCCAGGTCAATATCTAATTTCCACTTTTTTAACACTTTTTTCAATATTACCTCTTTCTTATAAATTTTTAAACTTGAATTATGGGTAAACTACCTGAACACTAATTTTAACTAATAACAATTTTATGGAAAAGGTACCTGTTTTTAAATTATTTTCCCATAACTTATTACCTATTTTTTATAAATTTTTAAAACTGCAATGGGTAAACTACCTGAATACTTATTTTTATCAAATACAATATTAACGGAAAAGGTACCTGTTTTTTAAATACGATAAAATGTTTACCTATGTGGCATAAATATAATGTCGCCAAATATTTGTGGTTCAGTTGAATAATAGATTCTAAAAGTATTGAACGTGTATTTTTTAAATTAATCGTAATAATTACAATGCCACCAAAAAAATCGTGTCTTTCCAAACAAACGAAAAATGCAATGATCAAGAAATCGCAGAGAGAACACGACACACACAAAAGAATTGGAAATTTACCTGGGAGAAAATTTGCCAAAGTTGCAACCTGAACAAAAAAATATCTACGATTATGTAATGGATGCTATAATAAACCAAACCGGTGGTTTACATTTCATAGATGCACCCGGTGGAACAGGAAAGACATTTCTTATTTCACTGATCTTAGCCAGCGTCCGGTCTCAAGGTAATATTGCGTTAGCTATTGCATCTTCAGGAATCGCCGCAACACTTTTGGATGGTGGCAGAACTGCACACTATGCACTGAAATTACCATTAAAATGGCAATTTTCTGAGGATTACACATGCAACATCAGAAAGAATTCATCAATGGGTAAAGTTTTACAAACGTGCAAAATCATAGTATGGGATGAATGTACCATGGCACTTAAAAAATCTTTAGAAGCCCTCAACCGCACTTTACAGGATTTGCGGAACACCAATTTATTTGGAGGTGCTCTTATTCTACTAGCTGGAGATTTTCGTCAAACTCTACCTGTCATTCCGGATTCAACACCAGAGGATGAGCTGAATGCATGTTTAAAATCTTCTTTCCTTTGGAGTCGTGTTAAAACGCTTAAATTAACTACAAATATGCGTGTAGCTCTTCAAAACGATACATCAGCTTTACAATTTTCTAATCAATTGCTAGATTTAGGAAATGGAAAAATGCCAGTCAATCCAGCAACAAATTGCATTACATTTCCGCCCGACTTTTGTAAAATGGCACAATCTATTGAAGATCTTATTATTTCCATATTTCCAAATATTGACCGCAATTTCAAAAATACGCAATGGTTATGTGAACGTGCATTATTGGCTGCTAAAAATGTTGACGTTAACTATATAAACAACATTATCCTGAATAGAATCGGTGGAAGTATAAAAACATATAATTCCATCGATACCGTAATGGAGGAAAATGATGTCGTCAATTATCCAATTGAATTCCTAAATTCACTCGATCTTCCAGGTTTTCCACCATATGTGCTGCAATTGGAAATTGGTGTACCTATCGTTTTATTGCGAAACATTGATCCTCCAAAGCTATGCAATGGAACTCGACTTGCTGTGGAAAAATTACACAATAACATAATCGAAGCCACTATCATAACTGGAAAATATAAAGGCGAAAACGTAATGCTACTACGAATTCCAATGATAACATCCGAACTTCCATTTAACTTTAAACGTTTACAGTTTCCTGTTCGATTAGCCTTTGCAATGACAATTAATAAGTCGCAAGGTCAATCTCTTAAAGTCTGTGGATTAAATTTAGAAAATCCGTGTTTCTCACATGGTCAGCTTTATGTTGCATGCTCCCGAGTGGGAAATCCATCAAATCTTTTTATTTATGCTCCTGACGGAAAAACTAAAACCATCGTCTATCCAAAAGCATTAGAATAATAATTAAGTTAATAATATTAGTATTAAGAAAATTATTAACAAATGTATTTAACGTATTTGATAGTATGTTACAAGCTAGAAATTAACGACTTAAGAAAAATATACTCAATAAATCCAAACCTAAAAAATATTTTTTTTTTATTTTATATATTTCACATATTTTTTCTATTATATATATGTACTAATATTGGCATTATAATTTTTAATTTTTGTCAGTTTGTCGTAAAAAAACAAAACAAAAATATTGAAAGAAATAGTGTGTATTTTCACTATAAATTTTTTGGTCATTCGGAAGACACGTTAAAAGTCGGATTGTGATCAATCATAAGATGTGCTAAAATAGTTAGTTATCATATTAAGTGTCATTATCTGTAGTGTTAATGAGGGCATATAAAAACCAAGTAGCTGCATATAGGTGGCTATTCAACTTTAACGTTGATAACTTTAGTAGGTGCAGCGAAGCGCCACGGGTCCAGCTAGTATAAGATAAATTGTACATACGTTTACTCGGTGGGACGAAATTCTATAATGTGTGTAAACTGGTCATAAACATGATAGACGTTGCTTTTATACATATATGTAAAAATAGTATAACCAATAACGACAATAAAATGCATTAGTAACATATCGACGCCTCCGAATCATAGTATCCTAAGTCTGAAATGTGAGTTTTTCAGTAGATGCTTTTTTCTTTAATCGTACGTGCCATGCTAAGTACATTTTTCCTTTTAACTTTGGTTTGGATTGGCCGATGATTACCAAGGAATTTAGTTCAAGGAGATCGAGATTCGCTAAGAACTACGCAAAATAACGCAATTCGTAGATCATACGGCGCAGAATGGATGAGACTAGGTCGACAGAACCAGGAATTTAGAACTGAAGACCAGCAACGTGATACTGCTGCACATATGCAAAGGAGAGAAAATCCAGAATTTCGTACAGCAGAAAAAGAAAGTAACACTATCGATCATTCCCGAAGACGTCAGAATGAGTTGTACCACAGAGAGGAGCAAGAAAGGAATACTTTAGCACATTCCCAAAGGCGACAGGACGCAATATACCATGAGCAGGAACAACAAAGGAACACTACTGAACATACACGTAGACGTCGGGATGAGTTGTACCGCAGAGAGATACTTTAGCACATTCCCAAAGGCGACGGGATGCAGCATACCATGAGCAGGAACAACAAAGGAACACAACCGAACATACACGTATACGTCGGAATGAGTTGTACCGCAGAGGGGAGCAAGAAAGGAATACTGCAGCGCATTTTCAACGATGCCAGGACCCCATATATCACGATACCTTTTGTCCCTTTTAAGAAGCACCTCTACATCTGACCAAGTGAAAAATTTAGTGTAGGTTGCAGAATGACATGTTTATGGATCCAATTTAATTTTACTGGTCCTTCAAAAATGCAACGTCAGTTAGGATTCACCAGTTGAATATACCCAAAGTGGTGAAGGGTATCATATAGTCGGCCCGCCCGACTTTACTACTTTCCTTACTGTTTTTTTCCTTTTTTTGGATTTTTGCCTCACGTCATTTGTCAACCATGAACCAAAATGTTATAAAATTTTACTGGTGTAAAACCCCGTCCGACTTCTGACCTTTCCTTACTGTTTTTTTTTTTTCTTTTTTTGAATTTGGGCTCACGTCATTTGTCAACCATGAACCAAAATGTTATAAAATTTTACTAGTGTAAAGCTCACAGTCCCTATATTTGAAATATACAAGGATTTTCCTTTTTACTGAAATAAACTTTTTGCCACAAATTTGGGTTCCTGGCCCATAGTGGACCAGCTGAATTTTGCCTATAATTATGAATTTATATATTTAGTTCTCTACATTCCGTTTCTGTTATTTTGTTCCAATTTTCAATTAAATTTCAAACTGCACTGCAATAATAAAATCATAATGACTATATCTTAATATGTTTTGATGTTTCTGAAAAATTAGAAGTCCTTGAGAATGTTTGACAAATGGATTACTAATCAACTAAATACTTATATCCACAACACATCAAGCAAATAACTTAATATCAAATATAGGTATTAAAAAAAATAGTTTTAGAAAAATTACCATTATTCATCTAGTAATTTTTTCGTATATAGTAATTTTCAAAATGTAATAAAAGATTTAAAAATTCCTCTTCAATTAATTTATACAAATCTTAGTTTTCATTATTTTCTAATTAAAAAAATATTACAAAGCAACTTGAAATACTCTAACGAAATTATCTACCTTTCAATGTCAAGAGCAATTGAGATAAATTGTAAAATTAGAAATGAAAGTCGGAGTAAAATGAAAATCACTTAAACGAATTAGTGATTTTGTGAAGGAGATTAAGAGAATATGGTTTAAAACAGAGCAGAAGAAAAACAAAGCTTAGGGGAATGTAAGTAGCTGATTTTAGTAAGATTAACAAATATTTTACAAAGTGGTCATCACAAATAAAATCAGTAAGGAAAGGCAAAAATCAGACGGCAATCAGACTAAAGAGCCTTATTGTAAAACATGACACTCTGGAGGTTGTGTGATAAATTATAGATTACATGGATTATACCAATTGTGACATTTTCAAATAGATGTCAATTTCATCATCATCATCATCATATACATATTTTAAAGATTATTGCCAGGGAGGATATGCCAGCTATTCGTGTTAAAGATAGACAAATAATAGACATTTTGTCATACGCCAAAATTCATATTGATTATGATGCCAATGGAGTTAAAATGAAAATTCATCTAAATTCGAATACGACATTTTGATCGATGTCAATCTAGGAGAAAGTATGATTTAGTGTGTCCAACATAAATAACACTTATGTTGTGTTATGTTTATTGACGTTTGCTCACAACATGACATTTGACAAATACAAACGTCTGTATTTCGGTAGAAGGCATTTTACGGCAATTTAGGAAAAATGTAATAACTATTATTTATATTTGTATCGCTTGTCTAGGATTATTAGTTTCGTCTGTCATAAGTTTTATAAGCTTGAGGGTAGTTTGTTGTTAATTCTTTTTTTAGATTTAAATAAATTTTATCTTTAATCTGAAAGACCACCCCTATCAAAAGTTCGTTTATGGTGTCGTATACGTGTTTAGCAACACGTTTTCATGTCACTCATACGCCAAATAGTAAGGAAAATTCATAAGTCGGACGAACCGACTATATGATACCCTTCACCACTTTGGGTATATACAAGAGATGTTAATATCTACAATACTATAGAATCGGGCGAAATTAAATCTATCTATCTAGATAGACATTTGAACCAATTTAAACCAGTAAGGAAAGTAGTAA